ACTAAAAAGAGAACTATAAAAATAAAACACAAATATTAATATATTTCAATTCAACATAACCAACACCAAAGGAAAAACAATGAAAAATAATATTTGTGATTATTAACATTCTGTTGAGGAATAACTTTGTTTTAAACTTCTAATTAATTTTTTTGATTAACATTTTTCTGTTGAGGGATAATTTTGTTCTAATTAATTTTTTTGATTATTAACATTATGTAAGTATGATTGATTATTAATTTTTTTTGTTCTAATTTATTAATTTTTTTGATCTAATTTTTTTTTTGGTTCTAAATATGATTGAATAACTTGGTTCTACCTCTCTAATTTTTTTTTGGTTCTACCTCTCTGACCAGGTTCTACCCCTCAGAGAAGAGGAAAGAAGAAACAAGAAAAAAAAACAAAATAAATAAAGATGAAGAGATGCAACAAGGGACAAAAACAAGTTATTCAGGGACAAAAATTCTGACAAGTTATGCAACAAATTCTGACCAGTTATTCAGGGGACAAAAACAAGTTATGCAACAAGGGACAAAAAAAACAAAAAAACAAAATCTGACCAGTTGGGGGTGGAAGATGCTTGCTGATCTCTGCAACAAGAGACAAAAACAGATGCTTGCTGATCTCTGCAAAACAAAAAATATATGAGATGAAGAAGAAGAAACGAAGAAGATGAGGGTGGAAGATGTAACAAAGAAGAAGAAGAAGACGAAGAAGAAGGAGAAGGAGAAGAAGAAGATGAAGATGAAGAGCACTCACTGGAACTCCTTGCGTCGCCGTCGCAGGAGGCCTTTAACGGGAATAGATAGGTCGCCCTATGTCGCCTCTCGCTACTGCGTTGCTCAAGTGATGAGATTAGGACAAAAGTGATGAGATTAGGGCGATACAGAGACATCATTCGTATATTTTTATTTTATTTTTTTTTGAAATTTTTCTTAATATTGCTCCGGTACCCCTCAATTCTCCAGAAAATTTGATTTATGCCCCAGACGTACCCAAAACGCACCAAAGGCGTACCCATGCCGTACCCAAGCCGTGCCAGATTGAACCAAACGTACCGAACTACTTTTTGCCGCACCCGGTACGCGTGCAGCCGTACTGGTACGAGTACCCGCACTCGATACATGTACGACACTATTTTTGGAGTACCCGTGCTTCATACGCTGATAGATATGAGGGTAATATAGTAAAAGAAACAAGTTTTAAAATATTAAGGAGTAAAAGTACCTATATAATTCTTATTCTTTTGAATGTCAAATTAGACAGTGAGAGGTCTATCACTAAATCTCCCTATTTTTAAAGTGCATTTTTTGATTAATATTTCTAAGCTTCTCTAGGTACCATTTTTTGATTCTCATCAAAAGTAATTTGAATATTTAAAATAGGATGCTTAACGTTAACAGTTAGGGAAGCCTTTAAGTATATTCATTTCCTTCCATTAATCTCTCAAAGGTAAGGGTTGAGTTGGGAGGGAGGAAGGGAGAAAGGAAGGGTTTTTTGATAATTTGATTGAAAGATAGAAATATAATAAAAAAATTTAGAGAAAAGATGTGCACTGAGTTAATCAAGTATGTAGAAATAAAATTGCTTCAAAAAAAGGTTGGCTGTGTTTGGAAGGATTTTCAAATTATAATTATACCCATACATTCTAATACCATGTTTGGATAGGGTTTTCAAATTGTATTTCCACAACAAACGGAAAACTTTCCAGAAAACTCTGTGTCAAGCACAATTTATATATATATATATATATATTGAAATTTGACTTAACCGGTCATCTGGAACCGTCGTCTTTTTTTTTTTTTTTTTTCTTACACCTGTTATTTTTATATTATAAAAAAAATATTTGCGAATTTTTTTTTAAAATTTTTATGAGTTTTGAATAGAATTTGGGTTGTATGTTTGGTTATGAGTTGTAAGTTTTTGTATCAAATATCATATGTCACATCACTCAATTCAAACTTAATTTAAAACTCTTTTCAAAATTCATAACCAAACAAAATTTTCACACTCAAATTATAATATCAAAATTCACAAATTTAAAATACAATTCTATTCTCAAATCATAATTTTAAAAGTCTACCAAACACTACCTTAGATTTTCCAAAATGGACTATTATTTTGAAAGGAAGAAAGTAAGCAATTTTTGAAACAAAGAAAGTAAGCAGTTTTTGCTCAAGTATACTATTTCAGTATTGCTAGATCTACGATTGCGATGTGAGCTGATTAAACAAATTTGGCCTTTTTATTTGTCCTCTTTATTTCTAGTGAACAAACATGGCCTTGTGCTTGGTTAAGCAACAGATAAGCATGTCGGTCGTGGGTAGGGTGATAAGAAAAACTAGTGGAACCAAATTGAACATTCGAGATGGACTAAAATTTTAGTTTTTGACTGGTTCTTTCATAGAATACAATTTGTTTCGGTTCTAAAAAAATTTACACCCATACCAATTGATTGACGCAAAACATTATATTTAATTACTTTTATATTTAATTATGTTAAGTATTAAAAGCTGAGTAACTAATGTCATGCAATCCTTTTCTCTTTATTTTTTAAATAATGCTATATATATCAATTAATGTACACACTAATGTACTAACAGATGATGTGACATCATTTGTATGATTTTGGATATTTATAACTTGTATAATAAATGTGGTCAATAATAATATCATAACAATAATTAATACTTTAGTGTGTCTATTAATTAGTGCATGTAGTACCACCGTTATTTTTTTTTCAACCTCAACCACTACCTCTCCATTGGTGTCACCAACTTCCTACCCTCTCAAATCCTAACCATAACCAACTGCCAGCCACCTTCTTTGTCGCGTCCATAGTTCTAATGCCTTTCTCAATTTCTCCAATCGCTCTTCTTCCCACGAGAAATCCCTTCTCTCTCTCTCTTTAGGCCAGGCTAGGGCAAGCAATGGTGGAAAAGGCGAGTGTCGGCCGGAGTTAATGATCGCAAAGGAAGTTTCTAGTTGGAGTGGTGGTGGGGGGTGAAGGTGCGGGTGGAGAGGAAATGGGTGGTTTGTTAGAATAGCAATGGGGACAAATTGAAATTTGGTGTTAAAACAAAATTAATGAAAGAAAAATGAAAGGAACACGTCCTAAGAAAAAAGGAGCATTTAACAACATTCATTTACAATATTGAATAATTGAGTTATGTGCTAAATTTGTTTCCAAAATTAAATTTTCTCTCCACGTTAATAAAACCAAACTATAGATACCTAGTGGATTAAAAATTCAGTATACCATGCCATTAGTAGCATGTGATGTCACCAATTAATAATAAACCTATATGAAAATAATGAACTCCAATAACCAACTTGTCACATAAGAGAAGAAAATAATGTCATACCTTTTTATTATTATTATTATACTATATAAATTAAAATTGAGTGCACAATTTCATAACATAGAAGTGTGTGACCTTTAAACTATAACAATATTTATCCTATGTTTGGGAAGTGGGTTTTGTGGCTTTTGTTGCTAAAATAGCTATAAAAAATAAAATAGACTTTTTAGCCCAATAAGATAAAATATCACATCTAACTTATAATTATTATATTCTTTTTCTTACAAAAAAATTAAAAAAACCAAAAAAATCAGAACCCTTCTCAAACCAAGCTTTTTAACCCCATGGTAAAATAGTCAAAAAAGTTAAAAAGTCAAAAAGCCAATACACTTCCCAAGGAAATATAGTTTATGTTGGTAATTGACCCACTTGGACTAAGACAATTTTATAATTAATATTTCAAATGACAAATTTGTGTAGAAAAATAAATGGATGAACTTAGGTATGATATAGTTATCATATTAAAAATATGGGCAAATTACCAACAGCCGCATGAGGTTTGACTAAAATATGAATTCTCTCTGAGGTTTGAGAAATTACAAATTATCCTAAAAGGTTTATATTTGCATAACAAATGAGGGACAATTTGTTATGAAAATATAAATCTCAGGGGGCAGGATGTAATTTCTCAAACTTCAGGAAAAAATTTATATTTTAGTCAAACCTCGAGTAGGGTGTTGGTAATTTGTCCTAAAAATATTTATTAGTTGCACCTTCATATTATATTTCAAATTTATAAGAATTTTTTATTTTTATAATACAATGTGCCTATAATAAATTAATTAAATTATATAATTTTGTGCATAGCACGGATTGTCACTAATAAAATGAAATATATGTATCTTATTCAAAATTAATATTATCTATAATAAAAAATGATGATATCATGTCATTACCATTACCGTTACGTTAATAATTTTTTTATTTTTTTATTGAGCGATAGGTGTTCTCTAGCCAAAGCGAATGCAAACTTTCATACACTTGAGAGAGATATCATATCAAATGGGTCTAGCTTGTCTTCAGTGGGAGATTAAGATTAGATCATGTAATTTGTGACGTGGGCTTACTTTTGAATCTCGCTTCAATGATCTAGCCGTTCATATTTTAAGATTTGTCGAATATATTATCCATGCAAAAAATCTAATCGATTGAATAACGACAATTGTATATTCAAATCAGTTTTGTATAAACTGTTTATTTTTTTATTATTTATTTTTTCATATAAAACTGATTTGAAAACATGGTTATTGCTACTAGATCAACTTTATTTTTTATATAAATGATATACTTGACGAATCTTAAAAAATAAACCGTTCAAATTATTAAAACATGACTAAAAAATAACCTCATACTACAGACTGAACTATCTAATCTTAATCTCTAACTGGAAATAAGTTGCATCCCTATTAAAATTAGAAAAATTCTGTTAAATAAATGATTAAATATCTCACATGAATATGAAATTTCACACGTGTATAAAATATTTAATCATTTATTTAATAAAAAATTTGTATTCCTAACATTATCCCTAAAATCAACCACTTCTCTTGTTTTAGCGGGTAATTCACGTTTAGTGCTAATAATGTGACCGTGCCGAAAGCAACATCTTAGTCTCTCCTCTCCTCTACAAATGTCATGAATTAGTGCACCCCCACAATCAACGCTCTTCATTCGCCGCCCCTTACCCACCTAAATTTCTCTCTCAAATCGACGAATCGAAGACTCTTTGAGAGAGAGACAGAGAGAGAGACAAATTCTCTTTTTAGATCTCGTCGCCCTGGGCTAGAGCTTTTACTCAGATCTATCGCATCTAAGAAATCGTTCCACCAAATCTGACTCCTTCAGTGGCGTCCTTGTTGATCAATCTGGTAACTATTCCTTGTGCTTAAATTTCTTTCATTTCATGTTCGTTTCTTCTCATCGGAATTCATTCAACTTATCGTTTGTTTATTTATTCAGTTCAAAATCTTGAGCTTGCATTGATCTTCGAGCTCGATCGTTCAATATTATTATACTTTGTGTATTGATTTTGAACCTGCGATACCAATCTTGAGAAATTTGATTTTTATTTAGGTTGTGCAGCGTAGATCCGTATGTTCTGTGTGGATTTTATTTGAAAGGTTAGATTTTTGGTACTAGGTATAACTAAATCTTGGTTCTATACGCAACGTAAACGTTGTAATTAGGGTTTTATTTTTATGGATCTTCCACTGATTTAGTGTTTATGATGATGTAAGGAATTGCAAAGGTAGTCCATATCCTACGCTTAATGTTAATGACCATTTTATTAAGTTATAAATGTTCGAATATGTCTCTTATCATTTTAAATGTGTTTAGATGGATATACAATTTTAACTAGGATTTTGATCATGATTATGACAACTCTTAGTTGAAATCAGTGTTGTCATTATCTTATAATTCACGATTACGATTCGATATTTTTAGAGGGAAATCGATATCTATCATCAATCTGTACCTCAAGTTAAATTTGTCTTATGATACATATATATAGGATACGTAGTGTAATACACGATACATGATAATGATCCGATACATGTACGATATACATCAATATTTAAATTTCTTTAACAATTTTGAAAACTATTAATTGAACTTATTAATATTATTAAAAAAAATATATCATTAACTTATTAAAAAGAATATTTTGATATGTGAATGATAACCTTTTTTTCTTCCACCACTTATTAAGTATCTTGTATTGTTGACTTAGAGCTATTTACACAGGTTAAAGTTTCAAGTTTTCAACTATGGACAAAACTCTTTACAAATTAAAAGTTGTAAATTAGATATTGAAACCTAAATGGTTAGTTAAGACAATATTTTACACATATTTTAATTCCACTCTACATTTTGTATGCATTGAGTATTGAGGATTATACAGTTCATATGCATTTTATCTTTCAAGGAATATTTTCCAATTTTGTGGATTATACATTATTTTGTGTCTTGCTCTCTCAGGATTTTTGTGTTTGCTATAAGTATATTAATTTTTGTACCATTTTTAAAAAATGTTAAGGTACCTCACAATTCGTGATACTATACAATGTCTGATTCAGAAAAATAGAAAAACAATGGGTTCGTTTGGTTTGTATTTCTGAAAAATTTTTGGAAGATTTTCTCTACAAATAGGTTTTTAAGAGTAATCAAACCAAACAAATTTTTCCAAAAAAATTTCTCAAAACTTGTAAACCAAACAAGTTTTCCAAACAAATCTCTCTCTCACACACATCAAATCAATCACTTTTTCCAAAATTCTCTCTCAAAATAATTTTCCAAAACATCTTTTGAAAAAAACAAACCAAACAACTTTTCGTACTTTTTATCTCTAAAACACATCTCTCAAACACAAACCAAACATACCCAATATATTTGATACGTATCCCAATTTGACAACTACGGTTGAAATCCCAATAAAATCTCAAATCTTCTGTTCGAAAAATAGTTTCATTTCCTATGTACCTCATATTAATCGTTATTATTCTTTCCTCTTTATACACTTTTTACTGTCTCAGAAAGTGCTGCATCTTTAAATGTGGAAATGTCTTCTAGACAGTTCTGTACATGTTCATCATATCTAAATCTGATCCAGATGCTTTAACAAGTTCTTAGGGAACAATGCTTTAGTTTAATTTGTTAAATTTTGAAATTGAATAATAATTGGTGTACTTAGAACCAATTCTTAGAAGTCAAATGTTCTTAAAGAACATTCTTTAGCTTCAATCCAATGTCCAATGTGGATATATGTTCATTCCTCTATTTATTTACATGTTTTTTTTTTTTTTATTGTCAACCTGCAGTTCTTTGTATTTGTTATACACCATCAATCATGTGGAGACTGAAACAGTTTATGCCAAAAGAACAAGCTGGTCTTGAAGGCCGTACCATTGACATTGGCAATTTGAAAATCCATGTCCGCAATGCCATTGCTGAGGGTGGATTCTCTAGTGTTTACTTAGCTCGAGATGCAATACAAGGTTCAAAGCAGTATGCCGTAAAGCACATCATATGTAATAATGAAGAATCTTTGGAAATTGTGAAGAAAGAAATATCTGTGATGAAATCTCTTAGAGGACACCCTAATATTGTCGCTCTTTGTGCCCATACTATCTTTGATATGGGGCGGACAAAGGAAGCACTCCTTGTGATGGAATATTGTGAGAAGTCTTTGGTTAACGTGCTGGAGAGCAGAGGAGCTGGATATTATGAGGAAAAGCAAGTCCTTGTAATATTTAGAGATGTCTGTAACGCAGTCTTTGCAATGCATTGCCAGTCCCCACCCATTGCTCACCGGTAAAGATAATAAATAATTGGTTCAAATGTTTGCCATTCAGTGTTCTCTGTAGATTCTTAGAAACTTCTTTTCCATTCTTGGTGGTTCTTGGGCCTGCAAGCTGTCATCATTGGTTTCTGGGTAATTAGTGATATCTTGCTGAATTGAACTATGGTAGTTATCTGACTTCTTTTTTTTCGACAATTTTTTTTTTTTTTTAGTTCTTGATGGCTACATTACTTGAAGTATTTTTTGATAGTTACACTTGTACCAGTGAAGGTAGTTAAGCTGTACAATTCATTTTGTTTTTCACCCTATTCTACCAGTCTTCTTACTTGCATTAAGTAGTTTTGTATCACATGGGTTTGTGGGACAGTGAACATTTTAAATTCTTATCTTTTTCAGGTGCAAAATAAACCAATTGAATTTGATTAAACTAAATAAGATATTATGCACACATTTCCTGTTTGATGAAAATTACCTTCATAGTTTGTGTTTATGTGCTTTGCCAAGAGTTCTTCTGTTGCAATTTAATAGTTAGTGACTTGTTTGTCTTTCAAAATTTTGTGCTTTAGAGACTTGAAGGCTGAGAATGTTCTGTTGTCCTCTGATGGATTATGGAAATTGTGTGATTTTGGAAGTACCTCTACCAATCACAAGCGGTTTGAGAGACCTGAAGAAATGGGCATAGAAGAAGACAATATCAGGAAGCACACAACACCTGCCTATAGAGCCCCAGAGGTTTAGTGAAGTACTTTGCTTTTGTTGAATGATTTGATCTGAATGTTATAAATGTTGACTCCTGTCTTGTTTTTTTCCTTGAATTAGATGTGGGATTTGTTCCTGAGAGAACTCATAAATGAGAAGGTCGATATTTGGGTAAGTTGTTGGACCTTATTATTGGATTAAGCTCTTGAAATTTTAGGTGGATATTGAAGTTATTCTGTTATCCTGCAGGCCCTGGGTTGTCTTCTTTTTCGCATATGCTACTTCAAGTCTGCATTTGATGGTGAATCAAAGCTACAAATTCTAAATGGAAACTACCGCATTCCAGAGTTACCAAAATACAGCTCATCAATTACAGACCTTATTAGAGATTTGCTTCAATCTTCACCAGATGCCAGACCAGACATCACGCAGGCAAGCGCTTTGCTTGATTGGCCATTCATCTCCATGAACTTAGGTTAGTTTTAGATTGTCATTGTTCTGGAAATAATAGGTGCTAGATATATACTTACGGATGCCCTTTGTCTTCTGTTTGGTGGCAGGTTTGGTTTCGTGTTAATAATTTATTACCAGATGGGTTACAGAAGTCGTTACCTGACAGGCCACCAGAGATGCATCAACCAGGTAGTGACATCCACGAAGGTAAGGACATTATCCCTTGCTTGCATACATCAGTTTTTAGACGTTAGGACTTGGGAGACTAAATTGCTTTATGAGCAAATTATTTTGTTTGATCATAATTTCAAACTGGTTAAAATCGGATTAAACGCCAAAATTTGATTTAAAAATTCTACACTTGGATAAAGTAATGAGCAAAGTCCATGGTTCCAATACTTGTTAATTGATTGTATGGGACCAATGTTTGAAATATTTGTACTTAAAACTCTGCTTCCTGTTCAAGTGTTTTGATATTTATTGGTGATCTTTCACTTATCCAAAAAATCAAAAAAGAAAAAGAAAAAGAAAAAATATATATATATATATACACTTATTGCTGATATATCACTTATCAAAAATAAAGTACAATTGCTACTTATCGGTGATCTATCAGGGATTCCAAAGCCTGCAAACAAAACTCATCCAGTGCCTCGTAGAAGTCCACCACCCCCACCATCTGCAGAACCTAATAGGAATGTATCACCACCACCAGATAATAATACTAGGGCAAGTGGAGGTGGCGGGGCGATCGGTGCTTTCTGGTCCACACAGCATGCTAAGGAGTCACTTGTTGCAGAGGACAAAACAGGGCCCAAGTTTGATGAAGAACCAAGTGATCCTAACACAAGACATGATAAGATTCGTCCAGAGAAGCTGGTTTTTAGCCATAATACTATCCCAACTAAAGAGGAAACTGTTCCAAAAAAGGTTCATACAAAATCTGTCAACAAACCAGAGGATGGCCCTTCAAAGGACTTCGAAATAAAATTTTTCCAGGATGATTCAGGCCATGTTGCTGGAAGACCAAAAGCATCAAAGTCTGAGAGCACACCCGCTTTTCAAAATGAGTCATTCAATGCGTTTGTTACTGAATTTGATACCAACAAATCCAACCCAGGAATCAGCAATAAGAAATCAGGGAAGGAAGAAGAGTTGGAGGCTGAGGTTGAAAGGCTGAAAGAACAGCTGAAGCAAGCTAATGTGGATAAATCTGAAATGACCTCCAAATATGAAAAGCTTTCAGCCATTTGCCGATCTCAGAGGCAGGAGATACAAGAGCTTAAGAAGAAAACTCTTGCGGCCAGAACTCCATCACCAAACAAGGAAGCTTCAAAAGACCATCCGTCTCCTGGAACTCAACCTTCTGCCACCATGCCGGTATCTTCATCCTGTCCTACTCAAAATTGTCTTCATTAGAGTATCTCCAATCTTTTGCTCTTTTTTCCCCTATCAAATTTTAGTGTGAAGTTTGGTTAAAAGCTTGATTTGATATGCATTACTCCAATCCTTTTTTTTTTTTTAAATCAAAAATTTCCTAAAATTTCCAAACTTATCTTAAAAATCTGTTTTAACCAAGTTTTTATGAAATAAAACCAACTCCAATCTTTACTGTCTTCAAAATTTCTTCACATTTGAGTAAAAAAATGTCTCTTGGAAATCTGGTGAAGGGATTTGGTTCACCTTCATTTGGTGAAAAATGTTGCCTCTCTCTTGATTTGATACAAATTTGATGAAATGGTTGGAGCACACTTTTTAGCCATTTTTTTTTTCCATCAAATTTGAATTTGATGAAAAAAATTGATTAAGGATTGAAGATATAAGGCGTCTATAAGATTTAATCAGTTTAGGAAGAGCTAGATTGGGTTTTTTTGGCTATTTTAGCTACAAAAAATAAAACATCACATTCAACCCATAATCATTACTCTTCTCTCACAAAATATATCAAAAAAGCTAAAAAGTTCTTCCAAAACCAAGCTTTTTAGTTCAGGCTGAAATAGCAAAAAAAGCCAAAAAGTCAAAAAGTACTCAGTTCCCAAACCAACCCTTACATATACAATAGTTTGTGTAACATGTTTTAATTCTCATCTCAGCAAAGAGAGAAAGTCGAAGGGACAGTTTGGGAACTCCAACAAGGATTATTTGATAATAAGTCCCCAAGTCCAGAACTTAAGCCATGGCAGCCTTTTGCTGAAGATCCCAAGCCACAAACGGCATCGATGAACAATGCTCCCAAATCTGTTAGAACGAGGAATGGTCAACAGAACAAACAGGCTTCTCAAGCACTCTCAGGTAGTGACACGTGGGGTTTTGGAATGGATAGCTTTACAGCCATTCCTGGAGCCTCCTCGCAGATATCCAAACCTATACACGAATTGGATAATTTTAATTGCTTTGGCAAGTCAAAGAACACAGAGAGCAAGCCGGCTTCTCAACCTGCTGGATGGGCTGGCTTCTGATTTCTGCTATTATCGGGGAAGCTAGAGGTACTCAGTATGATTTTTTCTCTGATTATGTTATCTTCATTTTGCCTACTTTGCTGGAAAGATGAGAGCAAAAGGAAAAAGTAAAAAGTAAAAAGGGGATATATTGGTGTCTTGTGTTTGTTTTGTTGTGCTCTATGGAGTATTTGTGTTCTGTAGATTTTGTTATAAAAGAACATTAATGTTTGGCTTTAAATCAATCTGCGGCAGATAATTGTACACTTAAATCCATGGGATTTTATTCACTTTACTGGTGGTTATCAGTGGAGAAACCTCTGTTAGGGGGTCAGTTATTTTTCTGAACACATCATTTCATGGATGGAAATTCATTCATTGGAACATCATGTGACTCTTTTTCCGTACTGTATTTTAGATCTTTTTGTACTTCATCTTGTCATCATTCCAAATTAGGAAGATGTCTTACTGGGCTTTGCCAAAAACTATTAGTAAAAATTGTGCTAATCCTCAATTGATAGGAATTGAACAACAATTTAAACCAAACAATTAAACAAGAACAATCAGGCAATTGTGCAATTGATTCACATGATTCAAAAGAATGAGGATTTTTCTAGAACAATTGATAGTTACAATGTAAACAAAAGATAATTTTGAAATGAAACTATCGAAGTTCACAAAGTTACTAGATACAAACTACTAAAGTAATTACTCTTAGGGCATGTTTGATAGGGTGGATTGGGATTATTAATCCGTGGATTCAATTATTTAAGGTCTGTTTGGTAACGTTTACGTTTTCAGTTTATATTTACAAAAATTTTATAAACTGATTTTTGTTTATTTTTAGAAAAATATAAACTACGAAAGCGTTTGATAATTGACAAAATATTTAAAAAAATTTAAAAATATAAAAAAGAGTGAGAAATGGCAAGTGGCGGCAGAAGACGGTGGTGGAAAGTGGTGACGGTGGGTGGTGGGTAGCGGGTGGTAATGGGTGGTGGCGAGTGGGTGGTGGTGGCGGGTGATGGGCAATGGTGGCAGGTGGGTAGCGGATGGTGGGTGGTGGTGGCGGTGGCGGGTGGTGGTGGTGCGTGGGTGGGTGACGGTGTCGGGTGGTCGGTGGTAGCGAGTGCGTGGTGGTGGTGGTAGGTGGGTGGCGGGTGAGGTGGCAGCTTTGGATGGCGGTGTGTGGATGGTGGTGGCAGGGTGATGTGGTGAGTTGGTGGTGACGAGTGGTGGTGGCGGAAGACGGGTGGTGGTGGTGGTGGCGGGTGGTGGTGGTAGATGGCGGGTGGGTGGGTGGTAGGTGGTGGCTGTGGTGGTGGTGGCTGTGGTGGCGAGTAGGTGGCAGGTGAGTGGTGGTTAGGGGTGGACGGTGGTGGCGGAAGACGGTGGTGGAAAATGGTGGTGGGTGGTGGGTGGTAAAAAAAAAAAAAACTGAAAACTCAAAAAGGAAACACATTTTTTGAGTTTATATTTTTTGGTCAAATTTATAAATTAAGACCACTGATTTATAAATTAAAACTTTACCAAACAAGTTTTTATTTGAGTTTTTAAAATTTTTTGTAAATATAAACTGAAAACTGAAAACGTAAGTGTTACCAAACCGAACTCTAATGTTTGTTTTAACATTTTGGTTTAGGATTATTAATCCAATAGATAATTAATCTAATAAATTTGTAAGATTATTAGTAATAGGATAAGGGTGGGATTATTAATATCCATTGGATATTGAATACCACACTAATTTAATAAGATTATTAACATTTCACTATTAATCTTGTGAATCAAACATGACCTTAAGTTGCAGAACTACTTCTAAGATAAAACCAAGATAAATGACCTTAAGTTACAGGACTACTTCTAAGATAAAACTAATTTGTTGTTGTGTTGTTGATGATGTTCTACTTGCATCTTCGTTGCCTATTTATAGACATCAAACCGAAGGCCGCCTCTTTGTAACTGCTAGAAATATTGCTACCATCAGGCCACGTTTTTTCTGCATGAATATCAACCACGTTCCAATCTTCCACTTTCCCCATATCTAGCATCATGGTTGTAGACTCCACAACTGCACCACTCTTTGCCCACGTTGCCATTTCTTTAGTTATGCCATATATTTTTGGAATTATTTCATTTTGCAAAAGTGTTATAATAAACAATAATAATAAATAAAAATACAAATATAATAATGAAATATCTCCATAATCACTTAAAAATATAATTTGTGGTCTAAATTGACGGATAAAAATTGACGTGTTGCAATTAATAATATTAAATTTGTCCATAGTTGACAGGTTACAATCAATTAGACTAAATTTGGCCATAGTTGATAGAAAAATAATTTATCATTCACTTTCTTTTCTCGCTAAAACAAGACTGAACTTTACGAGCACTGGTACATGTCTTTCATAAATTGTTGACCTATATTGACAGGCTGTCTTTGCCATTTACAAGCACTAAATGTTTCTTGAAAATTAGCCCATCATTCTTTCAACTGCTTGTAATTGAGCCACTGATTACTTTCATCACATTGCACATACTTTGGCTCAAGAAGTAAAACATCTTCAAGTTTCTTTGCTACGTGTCATAAACAACTTTTCATTCCCTGTCGACAGAAGAGTTACAAAAATGGGTGCAAACAATGCTCTTCTAACTCTATAAGAATGAGACTTACTCAAATTCTTGAAGAGTTATAAAATCAAAATTAAATCTATGGCAGCCCTTTCAACAAACAAGCATATATGAAATGTCTGCCTTGGGCCAAGAAATCTGGTGGTCAAAGGCCATACATACGCCAAAGTAGAATTGTTGATAATCCGAAGCCTTTTTTTTTTTTTTTTATGATCATATGCCACTTAATTGACAACACTACAATAACCCACCTAATCCAAGTGAACTACCTCACACATTCGACAGAATAAATGGTTGTTATTTGTGCTCATACAATTTTTATGGCAACATACAAAGCATGTGATATTCAAATGGCCATAACAGAATAGCCATTGTCTAGATTTCTCTGTATAATTCTTCTGAATGTATATATTTTCCAAACAATATTGATTCATTAATCACTTTACTAAAATTGAGTTTTTAGTGTGATCCACAAATCCAAAAAAGATTTGAATAACAAAAGCCATAGCATATGGTGGCTTTAAAAACTCATTCATCACATCTTGAACAATGTCAAAGATTTCAAATTCATAAACATTTGATTATTCATAATTTTCAGCCATAGTTGGCTTGAAATCAAAATTTTATCCACATTGTTTGCATCACTCTTTGAACTAAGATCTACAAAAAAATGCTGATTTTTCCTTTTACACATTAATGGGTTGGAAATATTTTTTGACAACATAAAAATATTTCTTTCTCGTGAAATTGCTCCCTACCATAAATTTTTTATTCTCATGGCCTTTTGTTTTTTTCACCCATAACAATTGATGAATTAACTTTTTCCTGATTCACAACCCTTGAAGGCATAGGAAGAATAACTGAAAAGCCAAATTTTGGCTTCTGTAAGAATTTTTAATGTTTCCCTCCACTGATGAATTTCGATCTCAAAATGGTCAATTTGATCATCAAGTTGACCAATCACTCTATCAAAATAATTTCGTATTTCTAACATCAAATAATCTGATAATGACGCTATTGTTTGACATTTTTGCCAATCAAGATAATCAATTTTTTTTTTTTGTAAATATAAAATTTTATTCTCACGCCAACACATTTCATCTTCACAAAACCAAATAATTTCATCTATTTTTCTCGACATGTCATTCCATGGAAATCTACTCATTGGAACATCATGTGACTGTTTTTTCATACCGTATTTCAGATCTTCTTGAACTTCATCTTACCTTCGAATTCTTGTTGAAGGGGCTAAATGTGAAATGGGTCGGGTCCAAGCTTTAGGCCAGCCCAATCCACTGATGTCCAAATCCAAGTGGGTTAGATGAGTATATGGGCAAACCGATTCATCCCAACTTCATGATCAACAGTCCACCCAAGTCCTCAAGAACTTGGGCCCAACCCGCAGTGGAAAGGCTAGTCTAGCCGTAGTGCTGGGCTGGGCCGAGCTACGAGACTGAATCTGTGGGCCGAACAGAAAATAGGCCGAGCCCATACAAAGATATCCAAATAGGATCAGCCCATCTCCATGAATGATCCTGTAAAAGGTCGAGACAAGGCATAATGATGCCGAGCTGAGGCACATTGGTACCGAGCTGAGGAAACCCTGCAAAAAAACATGGAAGCTATGAATATGTGCATGTGAAAGTTGCCACCTCAGCTGGTCCCTTACACCTAAAATCACAGAAGTTGTTGAATCAAAGGAATGTGGTTTGTTATTAACATGACTACAATGAGTATATGCATTCAATGATAACTACCAGGTGGTCCCCCATCTTGAGCAATGCCAAAAGGACACCTGGCAGCATCCAAGCTCCATGAACCCACCTTGAGAAGCAAGCAAGGAATACTATATATACAACATGAACTTCACATTGAAGGTAACTGAACTATTCCAAGCAAACTCACACATAGAGATAGATTCAACTCTATATGCACTTCTTCTACAATCAGTAATTCCCACACCGGAGGGGTCATCCGGCCAACCCCGGCCGGGCAGCTCTAACGGTGCTTCTTGTGGCAGGAACTCCAGTCCCTGGACAGTCCAACCGAGTGCAGGGCCCCGATCCACTTTCATCTAGTGCGGAATCCGGTATGCACAATTGGTGCGGTAAGCGTGGATCATTTCATCTCTGAGCTCTGCACTTAGTTCCGGCGATGGGGATTGAGGACATTCCACCTTCGACACATACTCCACAGACGGAGAAAACGAAGGACAAAGGTTTGGCACTCCCAACAGTCCCGGAGGAACAAACTGGAAACAATAATCAAACCCTTGAATCTGTCGAGCATCGATTACCCTTCGCTGGAGGTTCTTCTCATCACTTTCTTCTGGAAAAGGATTATAGAGATCGAATCATAGACTCCATGGGGATACAGGAGTTGAAAGCCCAACTTAAAAGGGTGCTGGGCGATCCGACGGAAAAAAAGACGAAAGCAGAGCCCTCTCGTTTGCGACGGAGGAGCTCATCCAAAGAGCCACCAGTGAAGAAGTTCCCCAGGAATGAGTCTGGGCAACAAAGCCAGCCTATCCCAGTACAGAGTGAGGCAGCAAGCAGCCACACCTGTGGGTCACGCCGGAGAAGGGCCAAGAGGCAGAAGACAGTTTGCCAACAGACTGACTATCCTCCTCAGGACCTTCGTACTTGGTTGATTGGCAATAGGCAGAACGAACAACATAGGGATCATCTGGACCGTACTGTTCACCAAAGAGAACACTGAGCGCTAGACAGGCTCGTCTCTTCGCCATTCTCCCCGG